TACTAATTTAACGAAAACGAAATTAAATATATGTAAATATACCTACCGATCAAAAGTAGTGGATATAAACGGGATTTTTTTTTTTTTTTTTGAGTGTGGGGCAATAAGCACACAAATATACAGCCCACTTCCAACAATAAAAGAAGGATGAATGGCAGAGGAAAAACTCGGAATTATGTTAGAGTGGGTTCACCGAGATTAATAATATCTATACAATCCCCCCAGGCTGGAATCCACCATCATCACCGTTAGCGCTAGGATCCTGTTCACAAGGAGAGTCAAACCACTTTGGATTTTCAGCATAGAAGTCATCGACCTGTATACTACAAAGACCCAAATCTGGATCTATCATCTCGTGACTCAAGAGTTTGTTCAGCTTAGAATCACTGCAGCCAACAATACCCTTCTCATCATTCGCATCACATTTCAACCACTTTTTTTGTTGGCAAGCTTCACCAAGCACATTCTTCTCGTTCTTATACTGTGTCATCAGATCCCAAGAAGTAACCTCCCCAACAGTCCTCCCAAAGCTTTCCCCATCATCTTCAAAAACATTTACATCTTTGCCATCCCCATAGATGTTCAGGTGATGGACATCACCCCAATCTGGTAAATCATGCTCTACCACCAAGACATCACCTAGATGTTGCTTCTCTGACAGCAACCCAACAGATTTTGAGCCATCATCTCCTGCATTTCTAAGCTTACCCACCATGTCTGAGAGTTCATGCACCAAAGACCCCAACAACTGGGGTGGGGTTCTCCTTATTTGCCCTTCAAGAAACCCTAACTCTTTCCTTAGTTCCCGTACACGTTGCAAAGCCAAATGCTGTAGATCCCTGGGATCATTTCCCAAGAACCCAAAATCGTCACTTTCCCCTTCTTCTGCCACCCCGTACATAATCTCATTATCCATCAAAACACTGCCTTTATGCCCTACCATTCGATGCATAATCCTTGCATTACCATCCAATGGCCCAGGCCTGTGCCCTGAATGCACCGCGTACAGCTTAAACACAGCTGTCCCCTCATCCTCGTAGACAAATGTCTTTTCCCTCTCATTGTAATTGGATATAGGAACTATTGCTCGTATCCGAAAACCACACCCACATCGCTTGGAAACATAGGGCTCCCTTTTCATAATCCGTGATTTCTTCAAGGATGCAGGCTCGCCAGCTCTATGGCACGCGTAATCCTTAACCTCAGCCATAAATGGCTTGTACCTTATATACTTCTGTCGTATGCACAACACCACCTTATGCTTCACAGCCAACTGTTGCAACTTAAAAGGCACTTCCTTAGCGGGAACATCAAAAGACTCGGTATATTCAAACTTCCTCCTCTTGGATCGAGGCGCACACCCAGACGAGTCATTTGCGCACAATAGGCAGGCTGCAACACAAGTCCTGATATAACTCTCAGGAATCCCATAAAATTTAGCACCCACAGTCCAGACCTGTTTGATTTTCTCTATGGTTTCTCTAAGCCCTAAGTGTCTTAAATCCTCAACACCATGAAATGACATGACTATATCCTGCCATTGATCAACATGGGAAACAAATTGATTCAAATTATTCTTGAAGCAGAGAAAGCGGCTATTACCAGGAGTGGCGACAGCCGAGGCCGGGTCAGCAACATGGACGGTGAGCTTGTCCTGGATACGCTTCCACGCAGTCAAATAGGCTGTATCCTCGTTCCGGTCTTTCCACACCGATCTCCAGCTAGCGAGCAGGTCATCAGGAGTCACTGCCCGGATCTCGTCCGGCGAAGCAACCCGGCCTTCAGTCAAGCATTGGATCATCAAGGCATGGGATTCCTTATTGAAAGTGTAGAATTGAGACGATACGTAAGGCTCAGCGCTAATATGCAGCCGTGGGTAGTCAATTGCCCTCTTATTGCTTCTAACGCCACTAATTACAGCAAAATCCGGCAAATTAGGGTTTCGAGATGGGGCACCGTTACGGGGGAATTCAGCATCAGATGACGTGTGGCTGACGTCGTCGTCGTCGTCGTAATCGTCATCATCCGGGAAGAAATCGATTCCGGTGAGAGAGAAAGCATCATCGTCAATGGACGGCTGAGTTTGAGGGTCCAAGAACTGTTCATGGTGGGGCGGCGGTGGACCCATTTGGCAAACAACGTCCTCTTCAATTTTGTTTGGATTCATGGGAAAACCCAGTAAGCAAAAACTGCAAAAAACTCTCTTGTACTGAGTTTTTCTCAGTTCTTGTCAAGCTGAAGCTATTTGGGCTTTGCTTCTGACTTCTTTCTGACATATACAGCTTCGAGCTTTCTCTATCTGAATTAACTAGCGCCCGCGCGCACACACACTCTCTCTCTCTCTCTATATGTATAGATTTTGTCTCTTTGTATTCGTGTAGAGTGCAGAATAATGAGTATTTTATTGAACGACAACACGAGAGGGAGGAGGACGGATGTTTCGACTCATGTCAAGCATGCAGCAATGCATAAAATATGAATATTTATTTGAATTTTGAATCTTTGAATGCATTTCTATTTCCTATAAATATTTTCATTTGGGAATCACAATGGTATGAAAATAGTTGTATCTCATTTTTTACTTTATCAACATAGAGAAGTAATGCAAGAATTCGAGATTATTTGTTCGACGTGCAGTAAAAAAATATCAGAACAGTCGTTCTTCTTTTATCTTTTGACATATCATATGATAACTCGTTTTTACATTGAAATAACTAAAGCAGTATGGAGATACGATTAATTTTAGACAGAAGCTTCTGCAAACTATTTTCTAGAAAGGAGAACAGTTCTTTCATTATGAGTATCTAAATATAACGAAGGTTGCACCGATAACAGTAAAAGTTAAGATGCTATGTAAAACTTTTCCTTCTTGATTAGAAATAATGAGAATCTATCCACGAAATAAAATGGATCAACTTTGTATACTTATTGAATTACATTGTGATTAGATGGAATTTTATTTCATAGAGATTTAAAATTGATTGTTTGATGTGCAGTAAAAGAATGGCGAAGTAGCCCTCGCCCCATGTCTTTTAACCAACATACAGTGAGCTACTTTCATCTTGGAATTGTTAAAGCAATTTATAGACATGTTTACGAGTTCAAAATCAAAACTTTCGCGCCATCTTTATAACTGTTCAACATTCAGAAAAAGGATGGAAGAGTTGTCGTTACCCTTGTGTCTTTTAATCGACATACGACAAATTGCTTTCGTCACAAAATCGTTGAAGCAAAATATAGACATTTAACGAGTTCAAAACCCCAACTTTCATGCCATCTTTATTGGACACTAGATGAGGTTACTTTTCAGATAAAATGCGAGTATTTATAATAGAAAAAAAATCATATCAATAGTTGTACAGAGTGTCAGTTCAAGGACGGATCCCAGCCTCCCCCAACTAAATTTTTTTTAGTTAGAAAAAAAAATTATTAAAAAAAATCATGTGTAATTTTATTTTTTTACGTATTAGTCCGGCGTGTAATCCGATTATGGATCTGTACTGACAGTCGATTATTTTCTTATCCAAATATAGCCCAAGAAGGGGAAAAAAAAAAAGAACAACAAGAACAAACAACAAACTACAAATGAGGTCAAAGCTTCTTAATGGACTCGATCATATATACTACCCAAAGTAAAATATACCCCATGTTTGGTCTCAGTTTTTATAAAATTAATTTTTCCCAAACTCATTTTTAAATATACATTTTATGAGATCCACAATTTTTATCAATCTTTCACTATTATTTTATCAAGTTTTATTAACATTTATTAAAATTTTATCTTTTTGCCAAACCAAACAGGATCTTAATTAAATGTTTGGTCTTTTTGATTGGTCAGTGAAATTCTCCAAACGTACGAGGTCGTTAACAAGTAATAATTTTAGGTAAGTTGAGAATATTATTCTGTGTGAATTTGAATTTAACTTGAATTTTATCAATTCGTGATGATAAAACGAGTGAAACACCCCACTAATGATTTATTTGTCTTGTATTACTAACTACTAATTACTCTACTAAATTCTAACTAGATATAATTGAAGATAATTTTGGAAACGTTATATGTGAGAAAAGCATGTTGGAAATTCAACCCTACAATTAATCTCAACTTTTATCTTTTAATCTAATTTCTGTATAGATTACCTATTTTGTTTCATAACCTCTCTCGAGCAAAATTAAACTATTTCTGAATACTAGACGAAATATCCTTATCTCGAATTGTACTAAGTTATAAACGCATTAAATCACTAGATTACCTATTTTGATTGCGTAAGGCACAATTATTCCTAACGTCTAATAGGACCTTATGTTGAATATCTTGCAAACAAAATGAGTCATTTATTTAATGGTGATCAAGCATTCAATAACCATTATAAACATGAAAACAGTCAATCAACACAAATTATACTTAAAAATGATGTCTTAAATTGAAAAAAAAATGGTTTACATCATCAACCCAATACTAAATGGATTTAGTCTAGCATGCTAATTATACAAAAATAAGAAAAATATTGATTATTCGTCACCCAAAAAATTTAGTTGCAAGAAGAAGATAAAGAATTAATTTTTGCGTCCCTTGAATTCCATCAATTGATTCGGCAATTAGTTTCGATATTTTCTTGCTTTTCATCTTCAATTTCTAGGCACAAATTTTAAAGCTTTTGATGTTAATTGCGTTGTAACTCTTCCTAACTTTCTTCTTCAAGTTATGATATATAGAATACTGAATTTAGCATCATAAAAGTTAAGATGTGAGCCAATTGAGATTCTCATAAAAAGAAAACATATTTTGTGCTCAGAATTTAACCATGTGCTCGCATGGTGTAGTGAGTTGCAATTGCATGGTATCATCAAATTGTGAATTGCTTTTGACAAAGTCGCCCATGTGATCATACAAGGTTAACACTTGCGATCGCAAGGGTTAAATTTATGTCATGTTGCATTTTAGTCTCCGATTTCATCCTTCTTTTCAGCTCAAGTTCATCCTAATTATACTTGAAGCCCTTTATCTTTCAAAAGAGAGAAGAGTTGACGTTTATTGGATGCTTGACATGTGGTGCCATCTTAATGATTCACTATTCAAGATATATTGTGTCAATTCCATCTGTTATAAACATATGGCCATCTGACCATTGGCAAAAAGCAATAACCCTAAGTTTATAAGCATACAGACTAAAAAGCTAACTAAGTGGATCTGTGCTAAGGCTGTCAATATCAAATGTACAAAGTATCTTGGTCAAGGTGATGCTTGTGGAAGATGTTGATAAGTGTATTTTCTACACTTATTCGGGGTTTGAAAATATAGAATTTTATTATTTTTTTGGCAAAATTTTACATAATTTATGTTATATTGCATTGTGTAGGTACAACTTTATGTTTGATGAAGGATTGGAGAAAAGAAGCAAAATATGGTGAAAAATTGTAAAATCCAAAGTTCGAGGATCAAATTACAAATACTCTAGAAGATACTTTGAACATTCAATAACCATTATAAACATGATAACAGTCAATCAACACAAATTATACTTAAAAATGATGTCTTAAATTGAAAAAAAATGGTTTACATCATCAACCCAATACTAAATGGATTTAGTCTAGCATGCTAATTATACAAAAATAAGAAAAATATTGATTATTCGTCACCCAAAAAATTTAGTTGCAAGAAGAAGATGAAGAATTAATTTTTGCGTCCCTTGAATTCCATCAATTGATTCGGCAATTAGTTTCAATATTTTCATGCTTTTCATCTTCAATTTCTAGGCACAAATTTTAAAGCTTTTGATGTTAATTGCGTTGTAACCCTTCCTAACTTTCTTCTTCAAGTTATGATATATAGAATACTGAATTTAGCATCATAAAAGTTAAGATGTGAGCCAATTGCTTTCCATGAAGAGATTCTCATAAAAAGAAAACAAATTTTGTGCTCAGAATTTAACCATGTGCTGCATGGTGTAGTGAGTTGCAATTGCATGGTATCATCAAATTGTGAATTGCTTTTGACAAAGTCGCCCATGTGATCATACAAGGTTAACGCTTGCGATCGCAAGGGTTAAATTTATGTCATGTTGCATTTAAGTCTCCGATTTCATCCTTCTTTTCAGCTCAAGTTCATCCTAATTATACTTGAAGCCCTTTATCTTTCAGAAGAGAGAAGAGTTGATGTTTATTGGATGCTTGACATGTGGCGCCATCTTAATGATTCACTATTCAAGCTATATTGTGTCAATTCCATCTGTTATAAACATATGGCCATCTGACCATTGGCAAAAAGCAATAACCCTAGGTTTATAAGCATACAGGCTAAAAAGCTAACCGAGTGGATTTGTGCTAAGGCTGTCAATATCAAATGTACAAAGTATCTTGGTCGAGACGATGCTTGTGGAAGATGTTCTTCACAAGAGATGTCAATCGCTTAGAAAATGCACTACAATAGGAGGTGGTGGGCTTCGTCCAGTTATCTTGGAGGGCACATGTGAAAGGCTAAAGCAAAGTGGAGGTGGACCTTCAAGGTGTGTGCTAGGCGGACCCAGCACCCAGCGAGCCGGGGCGGCCGCCCGTGCTAGATTCGCCGGGAAAAAAAATTAATTAAGAAATATGAAAATAATATTATATATATGTTATTGTAGAAATGTTATTGAAAAAGCTTGCAGGTCAATAGGAGGAGCAGACACCTTCCATGTTCAATTCCCCAGTTCAAGTCTTTTCAACAACATTTTCCTTTTCAACTTTTAAACATGTAAATAATAACTAAATATTAATTCATAATTATACCAATGTTCAACAACAAGAAGTGTAGCTTACATGGTAGAAGGGACATCTTGTGCATTAGAGGTATGGGGTGCAATTTTTCAATTCTATGCTTTTTACTTTTTTTTGTTTAATTTTTCAATACATAAATAATTATATATTATAGTTTCCATTTTCGAAATAATTTCTTTACAAAATTTATTTACTCAAATTATTACTCTGTGATATATATACTTTTATTATTAGATTTTATTAATTTATTTTATAAATTTTAAATTTGGACAATCTAAAGTGTTGTCATTTATTCTTTTAAAAGTTCGAAAAACACTTTTTCTTTTAGGGTCAAAAATAGTTTTAGTTCTAAAAATCATTGTTTTCAAAATTTTACATAACTTTCGCCTAAACTCGGAGTTTGTCTTTACC